ATGAGGACTGATTCATTTTTTAACTAAGTAAAGGGAGTACAGTACTGGTTTACTTTTACTCTTATTTTTAAAGAACAAATCCAAGACTTTTTATTTGTAGCAAAATAGAAAAAAAAAGTTAATTTCTATACCAGTGGACCATGACTGAAATAACCTTAGGGCTAGAAAGAAAATCGAAAAACCTACAGCATAATACCACAGTTCCAATAAGCAATAAGTGGTTTTCAAAATAGGGGCTGCCCCTCCTAGACACCCACCCCTCCCCCGTCTCCTCCTCAGGGGTCAGAGAGATTTCATTTTAATTTAATATTTTTTCTTTTTTCAAAATGTTTCTCAGTGGGAAAATGCACATTTTTTTATTTGATTTTTCCTTTGTTCAAACAAAATAACACAATTTTAAATGAAGTACAGTACAGTTTTGAAGAAACAGCAGTAAATGTAAAAATGTGGGAAGGCTTGTTCAAAATAAGGGGGCGCTGCAGTAGAAGTTTAGAAACTAATATCTGATTTTACTTGCTGAATAAATCTGTTTTTCCACCATCCCATTAAGCTTTTTTTGAATTTAAGAGGCATCCTTTTTTTTTCTTTTAGAATATTGTATTGTTATTTGAAAATAACATCTGTATTTTATAGGATTCTCAACACCGGTTTGTTTGTCTGCGACATAAAGTTTAACCTAAGAGTCAAATACCAAAGTAACCTTAGAGGGAGAACGACCCAATCTCCTCTTTGCCGTTGCCATCGTAACCCTTAAGTCCTTCAAACAGAGAGATTCTGTCACTTTTTAAACCTTCAAACCTCCAGGGGTCCAGAAGAACAAAGGAGCTAACCTGGCTGGCATCAAGCCCAGGAGAACTGCCCTTTGTCTGGCCAAGATATTAGTAACACCGGGGTCTTGGAGAGGGGAGAGATGTAGAAGAGTTGGCGGTCAGCACCAGCGAGAACCACTGACGTAAAAAATGGGAGCAGATAATGAAGTAGTGACAAGAGACGGAAAACGCATATGTAAAAATTCAGCTAATGTACGTAGAGAGCGCGTACTCTGGATATAAATTTGTACTGTAAGTACTTTGATAGTTACTGCCAGTGTGTCAGGTTAAATGACACACTGATCTGGTCTGAACGATTAAAGCCCCTTGACTTGAGTCCTAATCCCTTTCTAAACCATGCACTTGACACTCATTCAGCCTTTTTAGCTCCAGTCAGCAGCAAACAAACACACACTTGTCAGGGAGGAGTGAAAATCACCCCCCTCCCCAGCCCCCCCGGCCCACCACAAAAGGAAGGATTTCTTCAGAGCTAATGCACTGGTCAAGTTTCCTGAGGGGCCGGGGCTGTAAGGAAGCGATTGTTGATCTGAAAACTTTAAAAGTTTCGTCAACCCAGGTCAGTTTGTATTTCCTGTAAACGTACATATTTTTAGGTTACATAAATACTGCAATACTACTGAGCAGAGTTGAATTAAAAAACAAAGTATTCTGAAAAGCAAACATCTGAAAATACATACATCAAAATGCATTTTCTTAAATGATTACACTGAAGAAAGGTCTAATTTTACCCTTAATTACTTTTATTTTAGAAAATCAAATAAAAAGGGTTGTTAATTATTATGGCGGCTCAATATGATTATAATAATGACTTATCCCTGAAGCTTAATACACTCTGTCATATTAATTACTAGGTGATCTCCATTACATTCTTTACTATGTACGCGATTCAATTAAAGACATAAAAAGAAACGAACTGATTTCTCACCATAAAAAGCTTTAGGTAGCGTTTCAGTCATGTCTGTCTGTTCGTATTTATTTCTGGCACAGATTTGATAAATGACAGCAGTGAACACACACATCTCTTACAGCTCACGTTGATGAGAATAGAGCAGCACAGAAATACAAATACCCCATCTTTTTTTTTGCAATGTCAGGAACAACTGAAAACGCATTTAGGCAAAATACTGCGTGTCGTCTGAAAAGAACACAAAATGGATACAACATTTAATCAGGCGCTACATATTGAAGTGAGTCTAATCTGATTTGACGGGATTACTGTGTTCACAAAAAAAAAATCTGATGAGTCATTTCTGCTTAAAAAATTACATTTTGTCAGTGCAGTCTGTGTCTCCCCCACCTCCCCTCCCTCTCACACACAGCTGTCAAATTAAACATTTTAACAGAATCACAACAACACCAACAACCAACCAGCCAACCAATCACGTAAACAAAGCCGTCATCGGCATATAGTTTAACGTCACAATGTGTTTGTCCGCTCAGCTAACCAACTAGCTTGTTGCAAAATTTGTTTTAATGCCATACATCAGAATGAGAGATGGCAACGTAACCCTGACACGCCGTAGATTAAGGACGTCGTAAACTGATGACCCCTCTCTCCCCCCCCCCATAGAACCCACATCATCCTTGTGTATAACTCCAAGTATGACTCAAACTGAGCTCTATTTAAGGGGTCACTCCATATTTTATTAGGTTGTTTTTTCCATTCCTCTCATGTTCTGCCGTGTTGTGTGGACAAGTACGACACAAATGGATGTTTTGATGCAAACATCTAACTTATTCATGGACGCAACGGTAATTAAACTGCTGGTACAACTGCACACAAACTGATATTTGTGAGTAGTTTCTGTCTGACCTACACAGTTGATGATTGTATTCTCTGTTAAGCTCTGCTCACTTTCTGCTCAGCTGGCTGGGAAAAGAATTTTGAAAGTTATTTGAATCTTTTGTTTTACTACTTTATTGTCTAATATGATGAAAGTTTGAATTAAAAGACTTACATAAAATAGATAAATATTTGTTTCCTTTTGGATTGAAACAGCCTTCTGTAAATGAGAGGAAACCAAAACTGTGGTCTGGTTGAGCTTCCGCCCACACACTGCACCTCACCCTATTATCCACCTACGTATATAACACTGGCATCCAGTTCATTGCATATTCATTAAAACCCATCTTAAGAAGTATTGGTCCTGGTGGTCAGTACAGATGAGTACACATACAATACTTGTACTCCTATTGATTTGTAAAAAATGGTATTGGGGGAGACGCCTAAAAAATAAAAAATTATAAAACACTTAACGCTTTTACATATTTAAAGACGGCACTTCTTTTCCACCAGAGTGGCAGAGTGGCATTATGTTGGTGTGAGGATTACGTGTCATTTACGCAGGATGTGCTGATCTCAGTATGTGCTGTGACACAAGGTAAAAATATCCGCAGAACAGGACGACATTGCACCTGGTTCTGACACCATCACACCTGTCGGTCGCACTCTGACCAGTTGTGTCTGCTTAGTTCCGCCCACCTTCCGCAGGCTCAACATGCCTTCATAAAACTGGAAGACCATTTCTTATTTACTTTACGTCAACGTCGACTCGGAGTCGCCGGGGTTCAGTGACCATGACCCGGCCACATGTTAATGTCCTTTGATTGGAGTGGACTCCAAGAGGCCGTTTGGTGGATTACAGTCTGCGTTGATACAGTCCTGTGACTAGATAATGGAGGCGCCGACATCCTGTGTGTCTGAAAGACTGACAGTTGGATGTACGCCTCCTCATCAACTCTGACCTTCCCCGAGGACAAAATGTAACTGCCGGCATCAGACTGCAACTACATTTTGTCCTCCCTGAGAATTCTACACATTCTGCTGTACGCAAAATACTCAATTGTCATTGTTGCTCATGTCAGGCCCAGACTGTACTTAAGTGTTACACGTCTAACTTTTCTAATAGTTCTGTGGTTCTAAAACTGCCTTAGTAGGAAAGGATTCATAATATCTGGATTGTGGCTAAAAATCTGAAAAGGCTATGACAGCATCAACGTGAAGAGAACCACAAACCTATTTATAAATGTTACAGTGCACATGCATTTTGTTTGGCAAGAAGAAAAATGTGACAGAGCAGATTCCAGGAAACAGAAAACTAAAAAGTTAAATTAAATCCATCCATCCATCTATCTACCCATCCATCATCCAGCCATCCATCTTTCCATCCATCCATCCATCTACCTATCTACCCATCCATCCATCTATCTATCCATCCATCAATCCATCCATCTACCCATCCATCCATCCATCCATCCATCTACCCATCCATCCATCCATCCATCTATCTATCCATCCATCAATCCATCCATCTACCCATCCATCCATCCATCCATCTACCCATCTATATATCTATCTATCCATCCGTGTTAACCCTGATCGTAGGTATCAGTTACATGTCATACCAAACATGTTTACTCATCAACACATTATCACACATCAACTCACACATACACACATGTAATATTTAACCAGATTAATTTGATAAAATTACCCCCCCACCCCCGCCCCTCCTTTTATTTGCCCTCTACATATAAGATAATAGCACGGCGTAATGTTTAATCTGCTGATTCAAACGCAGCGCGTGTCGTCTGGATGGAGCTGACAGAGAACATTAGTGCGTACCGTACGTCTGGTCTCCCATTCATCCATTATGAATAGGATGAAACACGTGTGCGCATGAAGCCGATGACATACTTTTGAAGCGGCAGCCCATTGGCTCTTGAGCTATTTTTTTGTTTTACACGCATGTGGAGACCACCTGACCCACATCATGAGCTGGTGGGCGGGAAATACATTATCTATGGTCAAAACACACACACGTACATGTCACCGTGGGTCAGTCGGTTCCACTGACACACTTCTACAAGAGGAGAGCCACTGCGTGCTTCATTATTAAAAAATTAAAGATGCAAATGGAGAAAAAAATGCATACTGTATACATATGTATCAAAATATTTAAAAATTAATTATTTGAATGCATGCGTGCGTGCCAAAAAGCACAATGGACTTAATTATTCTAAAAGGACATGCTAATGTCCCAAAAAACAATGAAAGTTACAAGACATTTAAATTTTTGTGCAGTACAATTTCAGTTTATCTACTTTTTTGTTTGTTTGTTTTAAGCACTTTAATAACTAAACAGAATTCTAGGTAAACAGTTCTAAAATTAGGTCTTAACATGTTAATCCTATTTGTTTGTGATTAATTAGATTTAATGAGTTCTAAAATTAGGTCTTAAATTAACATGTTAATTCTATTTGTTTGTGATTAATTAGATTTAATAAGATAAGATATATAAATATACCTAAAAAAGTCTTTTGTCTCTGGGATTATCAAGTATCAATCCCATTTCATAAAAACCGCGATAAATCATGATTAATTGTGATTAACGCACAGTATTTTCGGAATTATTCTGATTAAAAAAGTCAATAATTTGACAGCCCTAGTCTTATCATATAGCATTAGCAATGCTAATGTATTTCAGAAAAAAATGATTCCAACTATTAATGAGGTTTCTACATTAAAAATGTTGTGGTAATTGCTCCATCTCTCTGTCTCTCCTCGATACTTAATGCTGTTTGGCTGCCACTCCTGCCCTGTCTGTCCGTTCCAGCCCTTTCACAGCATGTAGGCCAAGTTAAAACGGCAACTCTTTATTTGCTCTACAGTGTAATTAACTGTCAACAGTTTTGTTGAACAAGCAGGAGGGAAATCGATGAGCCTGAAACGAGAGGATGGAGTCTGTCGGGCTGTGCAAAAAAGTATGTTCTCTACGGAACGTTGAGTCATCTGTATACAAATGTTATAGATGACACGCACATTCTGACGTTAGACAAATTGTTACACTGAATGAATCCATCTCTAGAAAAAGGAAAGAGAAAAATTAATGTCTATTTACTATGTTAGGTTTCCATAGGAGCTGAGAACAGACTTGTGTTTAAACTTTCAGGTCCCTCATAAATTTGCCTTCAGGAAGTTTGGCTGCAGCATGATTTGTTTTTTTGTTTTGTTTCTCTAGCAGTGCTGTGAGAATGAGGGATCATTGGGACACACCGGTCCAAACGATGCACCTCTGCTCTGAGTCTCTGCATATCAGCAGGATCAATTTAACAGACCGGTAGACGCCGTGTTCACCAGACTGTGCAGGATATGCAAATAAAAAGTTGGACTTTCATTAAAGGAGGATATGGTGCTGCAGGATTATGACAGTGCTGTCTGCGGGGCGGAGGGGTTATTTAAACGGATATTACTCAGGGACAGTTTGTCAGGATGATGTGAAGAGTCTGCAGATGAAAGACGTGTATTTAGTCTGAGCTGTTTGATAGAGAATAAAAAGAAAAACTTAAGTTGAACTGCTGCCACCGACAAGATTTGAGCATTAGCAGCTATAACTATCTATAACTTAAAGCTAATGAACACAGAGTGACTAAAATCAGTCAAAACAAATTATTAAATTCAAAACTAAGTGATGAAGTGATGAGTTCTATTTATAGAAAAATAAAGATATTTGTCATAAATTAGGTTTCCACATCAATACACTGAAACAGGGAGGCTGAAGTTACATAAAATTATGTGTGAGAGCAAATATAAATAATATAAATAAATAAATAAATAATGACTTTTTTCTATTCTACTCCAGCACCTAGGAACATACAAAAAAATAAGATACAGATACAGTGTTTTTCAACCTTGGGGTCGGGATGCCACGTGGGGTCACCTGGAATTAAAATGTCTAGTAATAGATTTTTTTAAAAATGACAAAAAAATATATATATATTTAGCAAATTGAATTAAAGTACTATAATAGTTTTCATCTTTCATGTCTTCACTGCAGCCAGTATAAGATGCTGTCGTAGCGCTTTTGTAATTGTAATTCATTGATTGTTTGTTCAGTGTGAAGACAAACTCGTCTAACTGTTCATGTAATCGGGTCAAATAAAATGTCACCCTGTCCGCTAATCTGGCTACGACTGTATTTACAACACAGTATAACAAACACGATCAAAAATCGTAATCGTAATTCTAGAAAGAAAATGTCTCTGTGGGTCGCCAGAAATTTGTCGAAATGACGTCACAGGCCAAAAAAGGCTAGAAAATCTTCAAGGCAAGGACGTTTGAACATCTACGATACAGTGGTTTTTCTGAGAAGGCAGGAGAGAAAAGACCATGAGTGAGGTCACAGGTGAGTACTATCTTATAACTACACTACAAACATGAATAAGGGGTAAGAAAAGGACAAAATGAGTGAATTCATAATGAAATAGTTTGATCACTTCCCTGTGGTTACCAGCCACACTGCAACTCTTGGCCTACATTCTGCCGTCTGGTGACACGGAAGTGCATGACTCTGAACCCCCTACAAAACCTGCACAAACACACACATGGATCAGAGCAGACAGTAGTAGGGCAGTACTGCCAGTAGGAAAGATGAATACATCCTGCCCCATTAATACTACAAACCACAAACCATGTTCAGGGTTTTTGTTTTTTTTTTTCTTTTTGCCACTTCACATCCTTTGGAGATTAATGACATTGAAAAAAAAAAACCCTTTGTTGCAGTTTTTGACCATCGTTAGTGGCGTCCTGCTGCAGATTAACACCTTACAACCTTTCATCCTCAAGCTCACCACTTGACCACACTCTGAAGTATAAATCAGGACCACCCCCCCCCGTCCCGTCCCCTCCGCCCCTTGCGATTCCAGTAATGATTTCCTGCTGCCTGAGTCTTGCCCAATCAGATATCCTTGTCCCCGTTTTCATCCAGAGAAGTACAAAACTTACTTTAAAGTTGCATGAGGGAGATTAGCCCAGTTCAGTCAAGCCGTGGAAACTCAGAGGAGAGAATGCCTAAACGCTATGAAGTCGTTGTTATTTCCAAAAAGAAAGAATGGAGTGAAAAAAAACAAACAAAAGAAAGACAAAAGAAAAAAAGAGAGAAGAAAAAAAGAAAGACGTGTTTTGGAATGTTGGACTGACAGCATGTGCTGATGTGAGCTGCTTCTCGCAGTGTGTGCGAGAGGCAGCAGTAAACACTTAAAGAAATCCACTCAATGAGTGAGGCTTAGCTCCCTAAAGTGGTCTTCCACTAAACTGTGACCAATTTAGCTTAGCTGCAGCAAAGTAGATAATTATTGACAGATTAGGAGCACGTGCACGCGCTGAACAACAAAGGGAGATCAGAGGTATTGATGGCAACAATGATTGTGCAAAAAGGAGTTGAATATACTTGAAAAAAACCCAATATGGATTCAATGGAAACAAAACAGTTAAATGCTCGTAGCATCCTCTAATATTTCAGACAAATTGTCTGCAAACACACAGCAATATATTGTGCAACTTTTCATTCGTATCATGCGCAGTGACTTACATCAGAGATAATAACACAAACTTGGTACTCACCTTAACCTAGGCTGCTCTTAATGCTGCCATTGAGTAGCATAACTCCAGCACACAGACACATCACCACCACCACCTCCTCCACCAGTGTAGAACTACGGGTGAGTGCAAACATACGCAGAAACAGAAGAAGAAATGCTCCAAAATGGAGAAGAGATTTCCAAACTAACGTGTCTGTGTGTGTTTGGGAGAGTTTGCTGCGAGTGTGTGTCTGTCCGGCAACGAAGCTGTAAAGCAGAGCTCAGTCTCTCTCTCTCTCTCGCGTGCTCTCTCCCCCTCACTCTCTCTCACAACTGTGACGCGTCACTTTGGTCCAGACCCCTCCCCTCCCCTCCCCTCACCCATGCATCCTACACTCTGTCTCCTCACTTGCTCTCTTCCAATCCCTGTCTTTCCTTCTCCTAATCCCACAGCGCTTCAGTCGCTGCCACATTCTGTCCAAAAGCCTTGACAAGACGGACAAACGAGATAGATCGCCATCAGGGGAAACAGATCCTGTTAATGAGGTTGTTCCTGCTACGGTCGTTAGTCGAAGAGCTCATCAGAAACTTATTTACAATTTCAGACGGCAAAATACTGACGGGGTTGTTCCAGTTCCACTCACTGCAGCGGCACTTTGACAAACAATGAACAATGTTTATATTCTGTGTAGCTACACCGTCCTTTAACCCATGCAATTTTAGTGCATATGAAATGCTTTCATTCTTCAATTTAAGTGTGCTTAGAAAAAGTTGGGTTTTTTTCATTAATCTAATTTTCCAAATCACTCAAAACACATTCACAACAAGAGCAAGAGAACATGTGGGTTTGAAGAACAACAATTGCTGATATAAAGGAACATATATATATATATATATACATATATATATATACACATATATATATATACATATATATATATACATATACATATATATATATACATATACATATATATATATATAAATATATATATATATAATTATATAAATGCAATCAGGTCACATTTTATCCCAGGTTCAAATCCCACATATCTGTGACGTGTTTACAGTAATTCCCTGCTGAATCGCTGCTCCTCAGGGACGGGTTGATGCAGAAGACAAATTCTGTAGTGTGTAAACACACCTTTATATGATTGTATATATATATATATATATATATATATATATACAATGACAGATAAGGGAGTGTTCTCTTATACATACATACAATGACTGATAAAGGTGAGTTTTCTGATTTTGTAGAGGAGTGCCTCCTGTTTCTAAGTAAAGAACCGACGTTACACTAACTCACCAACTCTGTGGTAGTTTGGTTGTGTGGGCACTTTCAGATGCTTCTTCTTCCCCAGCTCTTCCCCAAGTAGGTAGAACCATCCATGAACCTCCTTCAACACAGACACAAAGACTGACTCAATAATTGTGTGTGTGTGTGTGTGTGTGAGTGTGTGTGTGTGTGTGTGCTGACTTAAGGCTTGGGGATTCAACCTTGCCACAACCACTACAGATAATTCACTATGCAATCAAATACAGATGGAGAAAAACACAAATGCATGGACAAAACAAACACACATACAAACACACACTGCATGCATGTCAGTGTGTATACTAGTTCCTTTGGGGCAACAAGCAATAAAAACATACACACAGAAATACACCGAATACACACAAACACACACTTTGGCTTATTCCAACAGCTGACGCCCCCACTGCTGCACTTCTGCCTTGTGGGCCAGATGGTGTGTGTGTGTGTGTGTGCATGCATGTCAGTGTGTATGTGTGTGTGTGACTACTGTATGTGTGTAAAATAAAGCTGCAGCAGAGAGAATTTGACTTGTAATCCTGATGATGTGGACACAGTCTTGAAGACAAAGACACAGAAAGACGGTCCTCAGCTCAGCCATCACTTTACATGATGTTATATTTTTATTACACTGCATACACACACACACACACACACACACACACACACACAGAGCTGCCTCTTTTTACATTAAACGCTGTGCCGTTGTGGCCAGTAACAATAATCTCCATTTTAAAAGCATCTTATCTGAGTGGACAGATATCTGCAGGCGATGGGACGAGGGGGGAGGACAGGCAGGGAAGCTTGCATAGAAGAAGGGGCGGGAGGACACGGGAGGCGAAGGGGGGGGGCATATGTCCTCAACAACAGAGAGGGATTTACTCTGTTGTTCAATATCACGCTGCACACGTGAGCAAAAATAAATAAAATAAAATAAAAAATCCAAAACACTGTCACCGAAGGGCGAAAACAGATCAAGAAAATGCTGCAAATGAGGACGAAATAAGAACAAAGACAATGAGGACACATGGTCCAAACACACGATGACATGATGTGACAGACGAGTAGAACGTTCATTTAGGCTGAAAATGAACTCTGAAAAACCAACACAAATGTGTGGGTTCACCGAAAAAGGGCCATTTAAAATAAAAACAGAGAACAGTGAATGCGGTGGCGACAATGACGAGACAGAGCTGTCCGCGATTTCAAGCTTCAAACTACATAATTAGCATATTCTGAACAGTGAATGAAATATAATTTCTAGTCCATGTTTTCCTCGCTTTGTTGTGGACCTGAGATGAAACGAAAGAACAGCGCCGAGTTCAAGTCAGTTTAGGGGAAAACGCGAGCTTTTGTTAATTTGTAGCTGTAGCTTTTGTTTGTTTTAAGTTTTGAGTCTCAACACCAAATTAAGACTTCTGTCTCAACTTCTCTGTCTGTTCGGGAAGGAAAAACAACAAAAGGTGCAATTAAAATACCAGCTAAGTGAAGGGAGACGCCGTGTTCTGAGTCAGTCGATTGAAGAAAAAAAAAACATTTAGTTAAAAATGTTCTTATCACTTTATGCCCAGAGATTTGGGTATTTAAAAAAAAAACTGAAGGCTGATTGCATCGTACTTTCATTTTTGAACCAACACCAAAAGAGAGAAAACACGCCACTGTTTTTACTAAGTGACATAAACAAAGTTAATAACATGTCAACAATATAAAAGCTCAGACTTAGTGTTAACGACATGACAGACTTGTTTTACATTTACATAGAAGTGTATTGTTATGTCATTTACTCCTGAGGCTTCATTAAGGCTGGTTGACTTAACAGTGAACAACTGCCCAGGTTTAAGGACACAATTACATGCAAAGTTAAACTCTTTATGGGGCTAGTTACCATTTTTTTGGTAATTTCCACACATTATACATCATGCTCATGGTTCGTCTCAGTGGGTTTAAAAGTCATATCACCTTCACCCAGACAATCAGCAAAGATCTGTTTCACCACAGATGGGCAGGTAATGAAATGTTATTACTTCATTGCCCTTGATTTTCTACAGAATGACAAAAAATAAATAAAAAAAATGTCAACACAGTACTAAAGTCCTATTATGTCCCCCAATAGGGGTCTATGGGCTATAGTTCATTTGGAATTTGAAAGTATTTCATTGAGTGCCCTATAAAGCATTGTTTCCCAAAGACTGAGTTGCGACCCTCAGGTGGGTCGCAAGAGAGGGTTGTCCCAGGAGTTTACGAATAATGTCTATTGGCTTGGGTAGCGAAAGCTTGTGACTTTTAAAATACGGGTGCCCAGAAAAAAAAGTTTGGGAATTTGGGCTTAGGTATCGGATCAGACGGCTGCAGTTGATTTTTTTGTTCTTTTTGTGCGATCCTGACTATAAGTTGGGTCATCTGTAGTGGATATTCTATCAAAGCTATCCCGTAAATTCAATCAAGAAGACTACATTAAAAACCCGTCAAACCAGTGAAAACTGTTTTAAATAATGTTTTTTGAGCAGCAATCTGTAACATAATGTTGAAACTGACCTTGTCTGGGTCCATTAGTGAGCGAACCCCGAAGCTCACGCAGCCCAGCAGAGCACTGATCCTGCAGATTGAGAAAAACTGATTAAACAGAATGAAACAAGTAAATATCCCGTCTAACCCTGGTCAGGTCTGATTTAACTGACAGTCATTACACATTAAATCAATTCCACCTCCGAGGCAAATCCACTAACCAGCGGGACGAGGGGCTTAAAATTTTATGTAGCTTATCTTGATTTCAGATTTGGTTAATCATTACCTCGTCTGTAATTTACTCTAATTCATCCCATAAGTGAAACTGTTCAGCTGCGATAAAACCAAGCACCAGAGGACAAAACCAAACCGTAATTGTTTCAACGATAATATTTGACACATGGGATATGTTCTTTATTAATATGTTAATTTAATTGATATCCAACAAATTTATTATCACAATAATGGCTGTACGTGCGCTGGGGAAACGTGCGGGTGTGTTTAATTATGCGTACATGAGCAAAACAGTTCTGGACAACCGACCAGCTGGGTCTGCACCGCTGCAGCTGCTCGGGCTAACACCGGGGGCAAACCAGCCCACTGCAAAAAAGCAAGCAGCAAACGAGCGATGTTTCATGGCCCCACTCTGTAAAACCACTGGCAGAGCTTTGCTGCATTGACAGAATGTGGTGAAAACACTGGGGAGTTCACAGTCGCCTGTTCTACCTGGTCTCCAGGGAACTCCAGATCTGATTTTTTTTTTCTTAACCAGAACAGTCTGAAAAGCATAACGCGAGTTTGTCCTCCTCTAGTTTTAAAGGACGAAACAGAATAAGAAAAAATTTCACTTCATACTACATACAATATTGAATTATATTGTTAACAAATACTTTAATTCAGTGGTTCTTAAACTGTGATACACGTAAAGATGTGGACTGAAGAAATAAAAAATGTTGGAGCCACAAAGAGTAAAAAAAGGAGCTTTCAGAATAATCATGTAAAAACAACAAAAAAAAAGATTTATAAAGAATCTGTGCAGCACTTTTGCTGCTACTGTGTTAGCACATTTGACTGGTAGAGAACAGCAATAAGCAGTCACCCCCCGGGGCCAGATTTATAATGTCTATACATCCATCTTTTTTACTGCCTGCTTCTGTAAGATACATATATATATAAAATATATAAAAAATAAAAGAAAAATGTGATATAACAGGCACTCTACAGTCTACTATATATTGCAGAGTAATAAAAAATAAAAATAATAATAATCTAATTTTTCTCCAAATGTTGCTCCTGTGACCATTTATTTTATCCACATGAAAGTGCGCATACAGCAGCAGCAGTGGTTGTGTCTGTATATGGTTCAGTAATAAAAACACAAATATCCAAATGTCTTACATTACATTACAGTATGTACATGTTGGTATCCATGTGGCTACAGCAGCACTTTGCCCGGTGTTGCCTGGCAATAACCAGGATTTGCTGATTCCCACAACTTGCTCGCAGCGGGAGCGTTGAATAAGCACCTTTTAATGACATCTCAGCCCCTGCACTTTATTTGAAAAAATGGTTTCTGAGGAGGCGCGTGATTCACTGGTGAATTGCACTGCTGCGGAGAAAACACTTTGGAGATGCATTCCAATTACCACATCCATCCAAATTTGCAGGTGAGGGAGACAAATCTTCCTGTCCGCACTGGTGCAGTATAAATCTCCAACCATTCTCAGACACTGCTGGATCACAAGCTTCTCTCCCCCCCTAGCAAATGTATGAATGTGCACTCAGGCCAACACGACATCTTGTACGCAGGCTTCTTCAGCTCTTCAGCCCATTTAAAATTGAAATTCTTCTCTACGGCGCACCAGCCGTGCTGTCACTCCATTAACTCTCCATCAAAACAATAGCTTGCTTTTGGGCTGATTTTGGTCCATACGCCATAGTATGGACCACTTTTAATAATTCCAATTCTTGCAAAATCAACACAATCGACACTTGTAAATAAACAGTTAACTACCAAAGATGCACCAATACTTATACTAGTATTGGTATAGTTACGATAGTGTCTCATTGTCTTTGTGTGTAGTTCATTTCAATAGGTCAACAATGTCAACAGTTTGGTGGAATTTCTACAACTAAATAGTGCTAAATTTCGTGACAGTGTTTTCACACTGAACTGTGTTAATGGTGTCAAAGCTCTGCTCACTTTCAGTTCAGGTGACTATAATAACTACAAAGAATGTGACATTTGATTTGTCTTTCTTTATATATTTATTTATTTATTGTCTAAGATTTGAGACTCTTGGTTTAAAGAACAGAACATTTTGTTTCCGTTTGGCTTCAAACAGTCTTCTGTTATTGAGATGGAAACAAAACTGGCCGTAAAGAATGTTCCTCACTGTAGTTTAGGTTTATCTCACACCCACAAACTGCATATTTATTAAGATCCAACTTAAAGAAGTACCAGTACGAGTACTGTGTACTGACAAGTACGCAAAGAATATTACGCCTTATTATATTGGTTTGTAAACAAAAAGAAATCGAGAAAACCCCATTAATAACTTGCCAAGGTCTCCTTTTAATATTTACATGTTGTTATTGGTAACAACAGCTTATACCCTGCAGTAATACTTTGGATTTCTCAACACCTCATAGCACAGCTCACTGGACCATATGTCCTCCATTCTCTGCAATGACCAGCTGTTTACACTTCTGCTGAGACATGGAGGCAAGTGGTAACACTTGCCTCCATGTCTCAGCAGAAGTGTAAACAGCTGGTCATTGCAGAGACCATCTCTGCTCACTCACTCTGATGTCTTATTCCTTTATATGATGTCCCTAAATGTTCATTGTCTGAAAATAATACAGTTATCATATACAATATATAACGTAGTTGTTTAACAAAGGTATCCCCAATCCCTGGTCCGGGGACCCGTACCAGTCCGTAGGTCATTTGGTACCGGGCCGTAGTAAATAAATGTACTTCCGTTTAACTTGTTTATTTCACTCAAAAATAATCCAGTCGTTACTTAAAAATAATTTAAAAATATTAAAAATAATCCCTTTACTTTTATCATTCAAAGATTTAAGAACAACAGGTCAAAGGTCATTCAGACTCTGATACTAACAGAAGAAAGTCTGAAAGATGTTTTATTTTGAAAATTGAATGATCCTTCAACGATGGCGTGGTATTACCGGTCCGCAGTAATAGCTGATACCGACCGACCGGTCCTTGGTACAAAAAAACATTTTGGGGACCGCTGCTTTAATACACAGACTAAAGCCTACTGATGTAAAAATGTCTTGGTTTTTTTTCCCTTTTTGGAGCACAAAAATAAAAATTGACTCTAATTGGATTGTGACTTTCTGCCAATTTTCAATATTCCTCCAGCAGTCCTTCCAAAAAGACTGTGAACTCCCAAATAAACAAGTTTTATGACTTTGGAGCCTCACGGTCTAATTATAGTGCACTGATGTCAGATGTCAAGTTTTACTGTCTTTTTGCAGATTCTGAACTTTAAATGCTGGACTCTTCCGCCCCAAAAAGTGAAACTTGTTTTTACTCCACGACCAAAGAGCTTTCTTTTTTAGCCTCCCTTTCACAGCTCCAGCTGCCTTTTAAAACTGTGTGGATGTAATTATCCTGCACAGACGCTCATTTAGTCACTTTTCTCTCCTTCACACTCTCTCCTCTCTTTTGGCTTTTCTGACAGTCGGTTAGTTATTTTGTAGTGGTGCTCGACAGCTTCTTGCAGCCACAGTAACATTGTTTGTTTGCTTCTTTGTGTATTGCAGCAGTTGGCAGCCGTAATGAAGCGTTGCTGCTTTGCTTCTGTTTAGTTTGTCTGCTCATTGTACCATTCTTCGTTGGTGGGCTGTTTACGTGAGGCCAAATGTCGTAAAAAAACAACAACAAAAAAAACAACACATAGTGACGGGCGTGGAAGGGGAAAATGAAAGGGAGTGAGGGAGTGAACAAGGTGGCTGAGAAGTCGCACAGCTGCTGGTATTCATGACGTTATAAATGTGATCGTATATTACTGGACTTCTTTAACTCTGAAGGAAGGAGCAAATAGGACATAAAGGAGAACAACGAAGAACTCACAACCTGCACTTCTACTTCGCAGATGCCAGATTTGGCACCAACCAAATCAAGTGAAGTCAATTTCATTTGTATAGCCTAAATCTGTGTCAAAGGACTTGGACAGTTTTGAATAACCACCACAACCAAGTATTTTTTTTATCCACTGACGGTTTCACATCACAAGAGTCCGAGTTGTCATTGTACTGTGTTTTATGTGGGTCTGTGTGTTTACCTTGTTGTGGAGTTTGAGTTCCACATTGTGAAGAGCAGTCTCTTATGAAGGTCGCCCTCGCAGACAACACTGAACAAAGAACAGAAAGTCAGTGAACTATGACTTTGGGCAACATATAAAACCATGCACTGACTAAGAGTGAAGACAGTATGTTTATCCTAAAACAGAGATTTAAAGCAGGGGTTCCAAACTCCTGGTCTGGGGACCAGTGGCAGTCCCTTCATTCTTTTGTACCAGGCCAAAGTGAAAAAATGTTTTACTAATTTACTTCATTCAAAAAGAATCCAGTCATATCCCTTTACTTTTTTCATTAAAAAAAATAATCTTACTATGTTTAAAAAAAACAGGGTCATTCAAACTCTGATACTAACAGAATAAAGTATGAAAGATGTTTTATTTCAAAAATGTAATGATCCTTTAAAAATGGCGTATTACTAACTCTGCAGTAATGGCTGATACCGGCTGACTTTGTTTGGTCTTTGGTACAAAAAAGTGTTGTGGCTTAGAAATCTGTTGTATAACTGACTGGGAGCAGATGTAAAGACCTTGTCCTGGTCAACAGTCCAGCTGCAGCTTTTTAAGACCCTCTATAGGAGGAGTCCAGTCAGAAAATCATCACAGTGGTCGAGATCAAGCTTCTGATTCACGATCACTCCATGAAGTTTTTGTCATTTTTAACAGAAGGCAGAGGCGAGAGTTGACCATTAAACAGACAATAGATTAAGTTTGTAAGAATGCTTACAAGTGGAAGGTTTGTAAGAAGACGGGATTTCTACAGTGAGGAACCATCTGAGTCTTGAATCTGCCGTCAGGATCGCTGTTGGGACACATGCCCACCTAAGGTACACACACACAAACAAAAAAACTCAACCAATGGATAGTGTACATATAATATTTACTAACTCATGTTGTGGATGTTTTTTTTCTGCACAAACCTTTACGTAAGAGTCACATGACTCCTGGAGCGCCTCCATCATGCCCCTGGCCTCCAAAACTGCACACACATACTGTATAAATAGCTGAATAAATTATGAAAAAGCTCATTACATGATATCATATCATGGAGTGCTGACTGTGCAGTCACATTCATTATATATTAGGTAAGGCGCTGGTTTTTAAAAAGGAAAGAAAAAAACAAACAAAGACTCAGAAAACACATCGTTTCATTACATTACATTATTATTATTATTATTATTATCTTCATTATTATGGTTGTTGTTATTGTTTGTTCATGTCTTAGATCTTAAAGTAGAATTTGTAATTGACCACAGAGAAAAAAAAATGAAATCGAACTCAAAAACCCAAATTCCAGGAATTTGAGAATGCAAAACATATAATATATCACTGCCAGCATTTTTTTTCCCCCAGTACAAGGCCAGTATCCAGGCCATGTTTTTACTGGTGTCAGCTCCAGAGCAGCAGGACAGCAGATGTGACGGAGAATCAGCAGCTCAATCTGCCCCCCACATGGGGCTGGAACCCACATGAGCGTTGTAACAGGATGCATACAGTTATTTCATCATTATCAAGTGCAGCCTCAGCCCTCATCACAATCACCACATGGTCACTGTGTGCTGCGGCTTCACTGCAAAAAACCTCAGCTGTTCACGGTGCACGTACAACTGTCGTTTTCTATAACCTCAGAGCGCTTTGTGAACAACTGAGGCCAAAATAGAGAAATCCATTACTCACAATAACACATGAAGTACACGCTGGCTTATTGGCTACTAAAATATGATGAAAAACTTTACATGTTTGTACCCTTTGTCACAATCTAGCGTTTCTGCATAAATCCCCCCCAAAAAAAAAAAATGTATTATACTTTTTATTTGGTGGTACTGAACTGAGGCATAAAGAGTAAGGAGTGAAAGTAGTTAATTGTGAGTTTGTTAATTTATGTTGTGATTATATAAATTGAAGATACTAATTACATTTATTAAATTACCTTACTGTTATTATTCATTGTTGTTATTAATATTGTTATAATGAATCATTAAATTACATTACTGATTATGTTTATGTAAATGTACTAATTACATTTTTACATCAAACAATACGAATGCAATTGGTCAATTAGTAAATTCATGACAAGGAAAAGGCACAGCAAAAGATGTGTCCTCTTGTTTTGTGTAATTTGCTAAAAGACAACTACAAACAAAATAAATTTACTATTTTGTTTGATCAATGCATTAACTTCTCTTGTAAAACATCAACATCAAACAACTTTCAAACACAAAAAGTCAAATTATTGTCTAAATGCAATTGGGATGTTGAGGAATTTCAAAATAAATTTTAAAAAACAACAAAAAATCTTGTTTTGTCTCTTCACCTAGACCAGAGGTCTGAAACCTGGGGCTCCTGAACCACATGTGGCTCGTCAGCCTCTTTAACTATGCCTCCCTGTGTGAATGTGACTCACCACTGACAACGAGTCCGTCAGGCTCATGGACGACCGACAGCTTCAGCTGACCTATAAAAAACACAGCAGAAAAGGTTATCATTATATGTCACATGAAAAAATGGTCATAATTAGTAAAAAAAAAAAATCTTTGGATCCTTAATGGACAAACTGAAAATGGCATTGTTTTTGCTTCACAGCCTGAGATACTGGGTCTAACTGAGCAGAAGAACCAGTTTTAAAGTGGGTTAATGTCCACTGTGACTTTGTGAATTGGTCTAACTGAGCAGAAGTTAATGTCCACTGTGACTTTGTGAATTCATGCTTCTGTGAGAGCCTCAAAATCCATAGTGACAGGCCTTTTTTTTTTTTTTTTTTTTTGAAGCCACTTGCATTTGTTTATGCGGCCGGTTGTGCCTGAAAATTTGTTTAGCAACGAGTGGTTCGACATGACCGAGCACACAGTAATTTTAATTTACTTGTCTTGTAACTACATAAGTAATTTTAATTTACTTGTCTTGTAACTAAGTGCATATACAGTATGTGTGTCCGGTGTTCCTTCCTCTGTCACTTTTCCCTCTCCTCTCCTTTCCTTTTCTCTCTCCTGTAAGTGCCTCGCCGCTGCTGACGGCTCCAGGAGAGTTACAAGCCATGTTGACACGGCCAATGCTAACATTGGCTTTGTGCAATTTTTAATTAATCCCTCTCATAAAAGCACAGTCTGGAGCGAAAAATGTGGGAGCCCGGTTGTGTGATAACATTGCTGGCACTTCAGAGCTTGGGTACAAGGGGTGTTTGTCGTTCCCACACTGGACTTGGCATAGCTTTGTGCTGCTGGCTGCGGTGGAAGAACAAAGTGTAAAACACTGTGTGCAATTTATTCTCAGTGCGTCTGAACTACTGTTTGGTACAAATGTAGTTGTACAAATGACGCTGTTTCCAAAAGTACATCAGTCAATACAGTATAACTAACACCATTAGAAACACAACCATGAAATAATGATCACAGACAAGTGTGAATAAATCCAGAGGAGATGATCTTATTTATATCATTTAAATCCGTATTAACCAGAGTGGGTTTCTCCAGGGTAATGTGTTGAACATGTACTGATTTAGTTTAGGCAGTTTAAACAAGACAAATGCTGAGAGTCAATAATGAAGACATGAAACGAAGAGACACCAGAGACACAGAGAAAAACAACATGCTTTGTAGATTCATAGATAACAATAAATTCATTCTCTCTGATAAATGTATGAACCTGTTGCAAAAGATTTAAAACGAACACAAAATAATGAACACAGTGTTCAGTGAACTCACCAGTGTGAGACCGATTTATAAAATCAATGTATTTTGTGAAAATCAACAACTTTAAGGAAAAAGGGTGCTTTTGTGTGTATATGTTTGTTTAAATAGCAGCAGGAAAAGGGGGCTTTTGTGTGTATATGTTTGTTTAAATATCTTTTTTCCTCATATATATTTATGTATGTATGTATATATGTATGTATTTATGTATATATATATACTGTATATGTACATACATACATATATACATATACCCCTACACAAACGTATATAAAAAATATATGTATATGCAAATATATTTATTAAACATATATGTGCATATATACTGAATAAACATATATTGAGTCAACCACATTCATTTCTGTTACTAAGAACTGAGTTAAATCAAACTGATTGAACTGTCGTCCACCAACAACCACAGCCGACATTTCCAAACTCTCCCTTCATAGTAACTTTCACAGCTTTTTCCTTTTTCTATGTCTAAAGAGTGACATTTTGGCAAATCATGTCACGTTATTATGCAGGAACTAAAAATCAAAAAAGACTTCTTTTTTTTTTGCATGAAGAGGTCAACAGTCCGTGAGTGGGAGGGAATTAATTAAGCCTGGCAGACAAGTCAGGACTGTGGGTCAGTGGACTCACAGATGGTAATACCGTACACCCACATGCCTTCAGTCCATATGTATGTAATCACCTCCTCACACTCACACATGGCTATCATGGAGCACTTCCACACTGCTAACATTAGCACTGCTAACGTTAGTGCTGTTCATCTCAGAGACAAAAATACATTTCCTCAAATTTACTTAACATATTTACTAAAACGGGGGAATCAACTGTGACTAAACATTTGCACTCTAATGTATTTACCAGTAATGAGGCCCAAGCACTTCATATATTTGAGAACCCCAAGTTCTCAAATATATACACAACCATCAAAACACGTTGACTTATTTTGTCCAATCCTACAGTTTCATTTTCATATTAAGCTCAAAAGTAAATACGTTTCTAAAAGTTACAATAAAACAAAGCGTCGAGAAAGGGTTCTCAAACTGTGGAGACCACGCACTATATCCCGGTGTTTTCCACAAACTTTTTTTTCTGGGGACCCATATTCTAAAAGTCACAAACCTTTACGACCTAAAGTCAATAGACATTATTCGTAAGCTCCTGAGAAAAATGATGTGAGAGGAACCAAAAAGAAAATCTCAGCGTTTGGGAAACAATGCTCTCTAGGTACCACCTCTATAAGTAGCATTAAAATAAAGCAGCGCAGGTCGAACGTAGTTATTTGTGACTAATCCAATTCATAATAATAATATGGAAAAATGTATATGGCCATTCAATTACATACTACTAGAAAAAATACTGATAACCCCAAAACAAACCATTCAATCAATGGTACCCCAAAACAAAACATTCAATCAATGGTAAAGACTTGGTGATTTTTTTTGATGTTCTAATGCACAGGGGTAGATTAGTCATGGGTTTTCTGCTGCCAGTTGGGTGTTGAAGAATTAAAAATATGCACTCCCCTCTCCCTCCCACTCAATTATACACTTCTTAGCCCCTTTACAAATAAACTGAACGCACCCTACGGTAGCAAGGATTCCATCATTACCCGAGCAGCAACATGAGCCCGCAGCCAATTCAGAACAGGAAACACTCTAAATCACCCGGCCGGGAGAACAGGCGTCCAGTGTCAAGGTAATGCCGACCTTTCAACTTTTTACTGACAGAAGGAGAGTGTGAGTCCATAATTAACGTAACACTGAATAGTTAGTTCAAAAATAAAATATTTTATAGCCGCAGTAAAAAAAAAAAAAAAAGTCCTCTTAGGACTGAAGTATTCAGGGTTTGGCAAAAGCTGAGCAAGAAAAGAATAAAAAGGCCATACAAAAATAATTATCACTCCGACTTCAAGAAACAAAGACAATTACATTTTATAGTCTTTGAACTGAGCCCAGAGCGTTAGTGTTGAAAGGACTGAGGTCATTCATAAAAGACATTTAATTTGTTTAATGTAAATAAGAAACTAAAATTACATTTCATAAACAATCCTGAAGTCTTTAATGTGTTTTACTTATAATAAATAATAAAGCACAGCGCCACCTTCATCTCACTGGCCGTTAACTGTAGGGTTTTTCATTTTTATTTTCATTATTATTATTATTATTTAGAAAGCAGAAAATCTTTGCCTCTGAAACATCACGATGCCGATTTTAAAAGTACAGATTAAGCAGTTCTCAGTATTTATAGTAACTGTGTTTTGTAAAACAAAACCACCGACGCTGACGGCTGATTATACGATATGTCTCCTCTCTGTCCATGTGGCAGCTCAATTAGGTGCTCAAAGTGCTGATGTTTGTCCAGTAACAGCGCTGGAGTGATGTCAGGTCAGGAATAATCTAATATGAAGTCCTTACAGACTGGTGTGACCCCTCCCCACTAGGACCATTGGTGCCAGGCTTCAGTAACACACTAACAGAGGCCAAACAAAAACAGAATTTTTGGTTAACCAGGCAGGATGAGCTCATGATGAAGGGATATATTGTTTGAATTTTTGGATAAATGAACCACATCATTCACAAACTTCCTGCCCAGGTGCAAACATGAATTAAGAATTTTACCAACACAAAAAATAATTAACATGATGAATGTGATTACTGCCCTTATATAAATATCTTTTTATATACATCATTATATTCAGGCTGACTCTCTAAAAACATTCCATTTTACTATAAATAAAGTATACGTACCGTACACCATTGTTTCCCAAAGACTTTTTTTTTTAATAATGTTTATTGACTTGGGTCGCAAAGGTTTGTGACTTTTAAAATATGGGTCCCCAGAAAAAAGTTTGGGAAACACTGCTGTAGACTATACATATATACACATATACACAAATATATATTTACTGTATATGTATATACTGTATATATACGCATTTGTATACTTTATATGTACAATAAAAATAGTAAAATAGAATGTTGTTGGTGAGTCAACCTGAATGATTTAAATACATATTTTGCACAATGAAACAGTCGAGTCGACTGCGATGTGTCTGTTTTTTTATATATTAATCCCTAATTAAGTGAAAACAAATCAAGTACATACGTGCATTTCTGAATTTAATATAACGTTTAAACATACAAACACGATCAGTACATATTTGCTAACGCCACTGTCTGATGGACAATGACAGTTTTTTTAAAGGCCGTTCCACTTTCTCATGCCTCTTTGGCCCCATCATTGGTGCTGTCAATCAGAAGACACTGCTGCCGTGTACCTCTGATATAAAGCTGGTAACGAGCCAGAGTCAAAACAGCCAAACAAGGAAAGGAAAAAAAAAAACCCACTAAATGTGACCCCCAAAATGTACCTTCAATTATGTTACCCAACCAGGAGGAAAATGCCACAGAGCTGGAGACAGGTCTACAGACTGTATGTGTGTGTGTGTGTGTGTACGGGGCTCTTCATTACTCTGCTACCTCCCACTGCGCTTTAATAGGTTTTGCTGCTTATTTGTCACATTTACATTTGAAAGGCTGCGCCCCATATGGCATTCAGTAAGGGCCGAGTCTGTTGGTCTTTATGTGAAGACTAAAACAGCCATTACTGAAGGACCGGGGGTTAATCCATGTTCTGTAACATTTCCTGTGAGAACGGATGTGATTTTGAAATGTTGGACAAAAAGGGTTTTGTTTTTAGTTTTTTTTTTAAAAAAGGGACCTGAAGTTTGGGTGCAGAGGAGAAACAAAAAGCAGATTTAATGAGAGACAACTATGTCTCCTCTTTTTTCCTCCTATTGTCAAAGCCATAAACCGCAGCTCATCTGTTGTTACAGACAATAAAAGCACAGACAGGGCCATCGTTGCCTGATGACACTAAGCACCGACAGACAGGACGGCGCATTTGTCACCTGACGGCTTCGACAACAGAGCTGCCCGTGGATTTCCGGCATCTGGACCACAACTGTGATTTTTCAACATGGCCTTTGCTCGTCTTTAATATTCAATATCCTGAAACGCTCCACGCACTTTAATCACCATGATAAGAGGCTTTCTTCAGCTACACACAGCCATTGGCAGGATTATCTATTCTTCACAGCAGAAAAGAGATAAATGCTCGAAGCAGAAGAAATAAATAACAAGGAAAAAAATATATACCAGCGGAACACTGAACAATGAAGGCGCTGTCCAGGCATTTTCTTGAGAAATGTAAATGTATAAGCAATTATTAAAGAGGGGATATTTATTTATGGCTAGCTAGCACACCAGGTTCCAGCGTGTTATATGCAAATCTTACAGTGGCTTGAAAAAGTATTCATACCCCTTGAACTTTCCCACATTTTCTCACGTTCCGACCACAAACATAAATATATTTTATTGGCATTTTAGATAAAAGATCAACATAAAGCGACACACAATTGTGAAGTAGAAGGAAAATTATACATGACTTTAAATTGTTTTTAGAAATAAAAAACTGAAAAATGTGGCGTGCAAAAGTATTCAGCCCCCTTTTCTCTGAGTGCAACCAGTTGCCTTCAGAGGTTGCCTGATGATTGCTGAATGATCAGCTGTTGACCTACTGATTAAATAGAGTCCACCTGTGTGTAATCTAACCTTAGTATAAATACACCTGTTCTGTGACAGCCTCAGACGTTTGCTAAGAGGACACTGGTCAGTGAACAGCATCATGAAGTCAAAGGAACACACCAAACAGGTCAGGGATAAAGTTGTGGAGAAGTTTAAAGCAGGGTTAGGTTATAAAAAGATTTCCCAAGCTTTGAACATCTCACGAAGCACTGTTCAATCCATCATCAAGAAATGGAAAGAGTATGGCACAACTGCAAACCTACCAAAACGTGGCCGTCCACCAAAACTTACATGCAGAACAAGGAGAGCACTGATCAGAGACATAGCCAAGACACCCACGGTAACTCTGGAGGAGCTGCAGAGATCCACAGCTCAGGTGGGGGAGTCTGTCCATAGGACGACAATTAGCCGCGCACTGCACAAATCTGGCTTTTATGGAAGAGTGGCAAGAAGAAAGCCATTGTTGAAAGAAAGCCATAAGAAGTCTCGTTTGCAGTTTGCCAGAAGCCATGTGGGGGACACAGCAAATGTGTGGAAGAAGGTGCTCTGGTCAGATGAGACCAAGGTGGAACTTTTTGGTCTAAATTCAAAACGTTAGGTGTGGAGGAAAACTAACACTGCACATCACTCTCAACACACCATCCCCACTGTCAAACATGGTGGTGGCTGCATCATGTTGTGGGGCTGCTTTTCTTCAGCAGGGACAGGGAAGCTGGTCAGAGTTGATGGGAGGATGGATGGAGCCAAATACAGGACAATCCTGGAAGACAACCTGCTGGAATCTGCAAAAGACTTGAGAATGGGGCGGAGGTTCACCTTCCAGCAGGACAACGACCCTAAACATAAAGCCAGAGCTACAATGGAATGGTTTAAAACAAAACATATTCCTGTGTTAGAATGGCCCAGTCAAAGTCCAGACCTAAATCCTATTGAGAATCTGTGGCAAGATCTGAAAATTGCTGTTCACAAACGCTCTCCATCTAATCTTGCTAAACTTGAGCTGTTCTGCAAAGAAGAATGGGCAAAAATTCCAGTCTCTAGATGTGCAAAGCTGGTAGAGACATACCCCAAAAGACTTGCAGCTGTAATTGCAGCGAAAGGTGGTTCCACCAAGTATTGACAAAGGGGGCTGAATACTTTTGCACGCCACATTTTTCAGTTTTTTATTTCTAAAAACAATTTAAAGTCATGTATAATTTTCCTTCTACTTCACAATTGTGTGTCGCTTTATGTTGATCTTTTATCTAAAATGCCAATAAAATATATTTATGTTTGTGGTCGGAAGGTGAGAAAATGTGGGAAAGTTCAAGGGGTATGAATACTTTTTCAAGCCACTGTATATATGTCTAGATAAAAAAGTTCAGAAAAGATAAGATAAGGTATATGTCTAGATAAAAAAAGTTCAGAAAAGATAAGATAAGGGGTGTCGTGATGGTGGGTTTTTTTTCTTATGGAGAGAAATAAAAAACACTGATGGAAAAAAAAGTGAGAAACATTTTTCTGTTACATAATTGCACACTGTCTTATATGCTTTACAAATACAAAAGAAACTTCTATTCTGAGAGACACACAAATTAATTGGAACAAAAAAGTTTTGTGTCTAAGCCAGTGATTATTTATAGCAAGACAGGGAGAGTTGAAGTTTCCCTCTCAGGGGTACGAAACTTCTACTCTGTGTCTCAGTACATGTTCGACATGTCTTTATGAAATTTGACCATTTTTTTTGTTGAAAATTTAAAAAGAAAAAACATAAAACAATAATTTCGAACCTTCGAACAAAATGATACAAAGGTTTATATGGCTACGTGAACTCAACATTTTAATTTGAGATTTATATTTTACAAAAGTCTCCACCCATTATATCTATCTATATACAGTTGATATGTGGATCAGAGTTGTCACACTACAATCTTGATACCATCATATAATCTTACAAACTACCTGAGAATGTCCTTTTACATCACAGTCAAAAATATATGTATGTATGTGTATATATATATGTATATGTTTATATGTACTGTATATGTATATATCTATATTTATATCCATATCTACATATATGTATGTATGTATGTATATATCTATATGTATATCTATATCTATATATATATCTATATATATATATAGATATATATATATTGTTTGTGAGGAAAAAGTAAACACTTGATTATAAATTAAGTGAAGCAAACATACATCAATATCCTTCCGTGGGCCTGATAAATACCGTCCATAAATGATTCAGGTTGTCATCGGATAAGGAGTGACGGCCTCATTACCAGACCAAAGGGTTTGTAAGAACATCTGAGCCCACTTACTGCTGCCACTGCTATCCATCTAATGTGAGACCCACTGAAGGATTGAGTTTCTGTGCTAACAGAATGACGTGACACAACCCTCTATAACACACATTCCTTTACTCCAATGGAAAAACAGAGGGTTGGTTTGTCAGACTGTGAATTAACGAATGGCATAAATATAGAAATGTCAACTGCTCAAGTTGGGCTTTTCTGTTTGTTTGTTTTTTTTTAAAAAAAGCATCACAGGCTCTAGTTATATTATATTCTCTATAACAGGAAAAACAAAACGGAGCTCACCGTGGATACTGAGGAGGAAGGACGATGCTGGAGGTGAGTTCCGCAGGTAAACCCTGAGGCAGGTCATCCTAGAGAGAGAAAGGCAGCAGAGATGGTATTGGCAGCTACACAGAGGAGTAAGGAAACATGATGCCTGTTTGTGTGAGTGTGTACGTGTGTGTGTGTGCGTGCGTCTCAGTCTGTCTTTTACATCATATAACTTACTGTGAAACTGCCTGACGTTTAACTATAGTAGTATAAATCAGAAAGTTTTAAAACCTGTCTAATTTTTATAAACTACATTTTATGACATACTTTATTATTTTGTCCTTTTGTCAACTGTTATATATTTTACTCAATCGGGGTTTTCAACCATCCAAAATGATCCATTTCAGAAGAGAAAATTTCATCATTTTTGTTTGTCAACAATGCCACCTCACTTTTTTTTTTTTTGTCTTTTGAAAACTAAAATAATGTTTTCAAAGATACTTAATTTTACTCCCAAAGTGAGTTATGACCTGGTACCAAAGGAAATCTCATCTGAAAACATCATCCCCTTCAATGGAGGACATGTCCAGAACTAGCTTTTTTTTTTTTTTTTGTTGCTATTTTTATAAATAAAGAGTTGGTCATTGACATCTAAATACATTTATATTCAGCTAAGAGAATCAAGTTGGTCAGTGAAAGCCTTCAAAGTGTGTTTAATTGAAATAATTCTGAAAAACTGCATGTTTTAGTATTATAAATGTATTTTAAACATGAAGAAGACAAAGACACTTCATTGTTATTGTACTAATGACACAGAAATAGTCCTCTGCATTTAATCTGTCCATGAAACACCCCTGTGATTATCACCGGACACAGAGGGGCAGTGGGCGGCAATTTATTCCGCCTGTTTTTTGTTTTTTTCTTTTGTTGCTTGCTCATCACAAATGAACTGATTAAAAAGTAGTTTCTATTCACGTGCGAGACCCTACTGTTGATATTAATAATACCACAAACTATTACGGATGTTTAAGGGGAACATAACCCCCCACCCACCCCCACCAACACCCCAACAAAACAATGAAAAAAAACAACCACAAAATAACTTGTTTTTGACCATCGTCCATGTCTGTGTTCTGGGACACACGGGACAAAGACGGCTTTGTGGTTATGAAGCGTTAATCCAGCCCAGTTTATAACATGACTTAACACACCTTTGGGTCGAATATGGCAGAATTAGGGATTTTTCCAACACACTGTTTTGATATTTTCACAGTAAGTGTGTACCAATAACCAAAAGATGAACTTTTTCTGAATAATCCTGATCATCAGACAGACACTCAGGAGAAGATGTTAGAGGATTGGCCTCCCTTTCTACAGTAGAATAATAAAAAACCACTGTGCAGTACTGTGGGTACATAGGACACATGTACAACAGCACACTCCACACAAAAAAAACTATCGGTAATTTCCTCTCCGTGTTAAAATAGCCATAATTATGGTACTTTTTCCACTCGTCCTATCTTTCCAGAAAAAAACCCCTGATTCATTCAGTCCTTATCAGTTAAGTGAAGGGAAAACAAAGGGTTTCACTGAAAGTCAAACTCTGCTTCCGTAAAAGGGAAACTGGGCAGATAAATCCAAAGTGGCACAGCTCCGTTCAAACGGAAAGTATGAATCGTTACATTTGTACTTAGATGTACTTATTTCTGACCTGTATGCAGTATTTTTGATCAGTGATTGCACCGACAGTCACAGATCTACAAATTTCATATACACACAGTTACTGTCATGTACTGTTGGATGTACTTATTCCTGACCTGTATGCAGTATTTTTGATCAATGATCAATGATACACACAGTTACTGTCATGTACTGTTATGTACTAAGACAGCAGTGGGGAAGTAACTTTATTTTTACTATTATCAAGATAATGTTGACAAGTTTACAAAGATAAGGTTTTAGATGGTTCATACAATTCCTAAGAGCCAATAGTTGATTTGGTGGACAGCGGATGTTCAAATTGGAGCCAAAAGGCTGCGAGCGAGAGGAAAAGAGATGGAAAAAAGGAAAAAGATTTATGAACTTAGGGAAATACGACATGAAGATAGTTGAGGAAGCAAAGGGAAGGTCGAGATAGAGCCAAGATGATTAACAGAGGTGACTCCTGACAGCAAGAAGAAAAAAGACAACCAACAAGCTATATTTAGAAGAACATATATTTCCATGTGCCTGAAGAGTTTAGATATACGGTGGGGGGGTGGGGGGGGGATATAGTATACATTTACAATAGTGATAGGCAGAAAGGTGAAAATAGAAACAGAGTCTTGTCTCACAAACTTACAAATCACAATTGACATATTGAAGACTCCCGTTTTGGAATCAATATTGTCATTTGGGAGTTAAATGCACCAGGTGTAAGTTGACTGTCAGCACAGTTGCTAGATCGATGTAGTTCTTGATAAGCTACTGCAGTATCACTCTTAATTAACAAACGACTGCAATGGCACACTCTACTGGTCCTACTGTGAAATGCAATCGATATATTTAACTACGCATGAAAAAAATAATTTAAAACGTCGAAAAGAAACTCCGAAAAACTCCAATAAAAATGAATAATTGTGATAACAACACTTTACTGACAGTTACTGACAGTTGTTTTCGTTTTGTTTTTCTTTCCGTTTCTTTTCTCTTTTTTACAAAGCCCAACTTTCAAACTAGCTAGCTCTGGATATTCGAAGACACGTCCTTACCTTAACTTTTTGGGTAGCAGGAAAAATGTTGAACAAACACTAAATTCTTCATTCATTATATTGTAGTATGTGAAGAGGTAGAAGAAATGTTTTTAAAAAACGTCTACCTTAAATACTTCCTCAGAGAAACGTGAGGCAGGAAATTGGAGCAATTGAGCGGAGAAACGAGACGTTGTGGTGGCGTATTGCTGCCCTCCGCTGGTAATCATTGAAGACTGTCAAGCAGCCGTGGCCAACCAACCCGTGGCCTGAGAACGAAAGGTGCGCAAGCGCCTTAAAATGAGTCACCATGGTAACTACGTTACAAACGCAACTGGTGAGAACAGTATACATTTTTGTGCGTACTAACTAACTTTATTATTTATAACACGTTTAACGTTTGTTTGTGGCATTAATAAGCCTTAATAATACTGTCTACACATGCTGACTGCCGTTTCCGAACATGTCGAACACATATAGCTTAGTTTTAACCCGGAAGAAGAAACTTAACAGGAAGCAGGTGCTTCATATGGTTAGCGTTTGTAGCTCATTGGTGCTAAGTGTGACTGATTATAAATGAACACTTTATTAAAACTATGCTATCAGCGTATTAGCTTGACGAACAATTATAAAACGTCACTGATGACAAATGAAATAAAACATTGGAGTTGTTTCTGCTGAGGCTACTGTACGTTTCACGAAGCTAATCTAGTAGACTATAGTAAGTAACATTATTTTTAGTCGATCGTTGTGTGTATTTTATTGAATGAAAACATCACCGATTAAAATATCAAAATAGGAAATGTATCTATAACTTACAGATAACGTGTTAGTGTGTAAAATCACCGTCTCTCGTGCTGTTTATACATTCTTTGACAGCAATGGAGTTTCTTCCAGTACTTGAGCCACTAGATAAGCCCAAACACGGAATCTGGTATGTGGATAAATGCCTCCTGTTCATGTTGAATTCTTTTTGTTGTTGTTTTTTAATTTCTTAATTATTCGGGATTACCTCCTGACATTTGCACATATCTGAATGTGTTTGTTCTGGACACTTCGAGCTAAATCCTAAATCAATAGTGTCTCTCTCGTCAGCTGTCCCATATTCAGTCTAGTAGTCAATAGAAATCTAATTTTCCTTTGCTTCTTGACAAATTGCGTCCTATCGTCCACAGGTATTCTTTGGTGCCCACAGGGAGTGCTCCAGGTGTTAGTGTGGGTCACACTTGCACGTTTATATCATCAGGAGACGGAGAGAAAGGAAGAATCATTATTGTTGGGGGAGCCAACCCTAGTGGCAGTTTCTCTCACACACACGTTATAAACCTAGGTACAGTATAAAGGAAAAAAACGTTCTGGAAACCGAATTAAATCTTTCACCATTTGTTAACATTGCCCATGTACAGGCTAATTACTTTGAGTCAATTTAATATAACAGTAGCTCTTGTGTGGTTTAAGACTGTCTTAATGCATTGTTTTGCAGATAATCATGAATGGGAGGTTCCAGATTGGAAAGGTTTGAAGCCCCGTTATGAACACTGCAGCTTTGTCCCAGAGAGCTGCCCCGAGAGCCTGTGGGTGTTCGGTGGGGCAGAGCAGAGTGGTAACCGCAGCTGTATCCAGAACATACGATTTACAGGTAAATCCACCCCTGCTGACTCTGTCTGACTTCATAACCAAAGCTTCTTCCTTGTTCTGTTGTCGTGTGATCCTAAAGGCCCATTCATATTTGTTTATTCTAATTGTTCGATTGTCTAGATAGTGCGCCACACTGGAATGATGTAACCGTAGGTGGGAAGACCCCTGGTCCGAGGACGTATCACACCAACACAGCCTGCCTCGGGAACAAACTGTTTGTTTTTTCTGGTGGTGAAGCAGGAGCTGAGGCTGTGTCTGACCAAAAACTTAATATATTTGATACAGGTTGGTGTTGAAACTAGATCTTCAACTGTTAACAAAATGTTTTAGCCCTGGCTAGTAAATGGTCCTCTGACTGACTGACTGACTGACTGATTCTAAACTTTTTCTTACCCCAGTTATCTACAATCAATTGTGTTTCATGCATAACCTAATATTCTGATGGCTTTTAGTCACTTCCACCTGGTCACAGCCAGATACAAAAGGCCGACAGCCGACAGCCAGACACGGTCACATTATTGTAGGAGTGGGTTCAAAGGTCTACGTTCATGGTGGCATGACTGGAAATAAGTTCTACAGCGACATGTACTGTCTACATACAGGTACATATTAACCAGGTAAATACAAGGCTTGCAGCTGCCCTGTATTTACCTCAGATGCCTAAATGCAATATATTGTCTGTATATAGTTATTTTTATAATTTATTCTGAGGAAAATCATTTTGTCTAATACCTAAGAAATCATGAAGTGGGAGAAAGTGCAAACCAAAGGAGACATCCCAGCAGGAGTCGCCGCCCACTCGGCTGTGGTACAAGGAAAGAACATCTACATATTTGGAGGCATGACTGCAGATGGTGCCACCAACCTGATGTTTAGATTCAACACTGGTAGATGATTCACTCACCACTTGATGCTAATTACTAATTTAATGCCATTGATACCTTAAAGTAAAATGTATTTTTAAATTACAGAAAAAAGTAGATGGATCCTAATGAAGTTTGAAGGAGATCTGCCACCCAACCGCCTGGACCACTCCATGTGTGTGTTGCCCTGGACGGTGCAAGCTGATGGTGATGGTAACAGCTCAGGCACCTCAGACACCAAGCATTTGGCCTTTGTCTTTGGAGGGATGGACACAGAGGGAGTCCTACATAATGACTGCGTTGTAACAGTTCTGACATGATGGAGTTGGTTTAACAATGACCTCTGTCATAATAAGATGTCAAAGAAATCCATTGTGTTATTTTATAAAATGTACACAAACAAATTTTTTTTTATCAAACATTTATTTCAATGTATTTCCAGAAGTACAATGACCAGATTCAATAAATAACTTTTGAAAGTTGCCTGTGAACATAATGAGCCCTTGATCCCACAAGTATTCTACCAATGAATAACCTACAACCATCCATATATCCCACCCCGATTAGCTCCCTCCCACCACGGAACCCCAATAGGACTGCCTGAGAACAGCAGCAGCAAGCCTCGTACTGGGCTGATGAATATCTCCGCCTTCCAGCGAAGAGAACCTCTCAAACACACTGAAACGTATCATAAGTCTCTCTGTAGATTCAGCATGGTTGTTTTTGATCGCCATCTCTTCCCGACCATTCCACTCACTAGGAGTCCCATCAGTCCAATATGTACATCTCGATGCCACTACCAGAGAGGCAATGGAGACAAGAGCTGACGTCAAACATGCCTACAACTCATCCTTACCCTCTTGCTCACTTTCAGCGCCCTCTGGTGGTGGTCCACCTGCACTGCCGTACAATTTGCTAATGATGGGCTGAACCACCTCTTCCAGCTCCTTCTTCTTGGCCTGGAACTCTTCTGTATCAGAGTCTTGGTGAGACTCCATCCACTCAATCTTCTCCTCGACTGCTTTCTCAATGGTTTCCTTATCCTCATCGGACAACTTGCCCCCAAGCTTCTCCTTGTCGCCAATCTGGTTCTTCAGAGAGTAGGCATAGCTCTCCAGCTCGTTACGGGCATCGATTCTCTCCTTCAGTTTCTTGTCTTCATCAGCGAAGCGCTCAGCATCGGTTACCATGCGCTCGATATCCTCAGGTGTCAGGCGGTTCTGGTCATTTGTGATTGTGATCTTGTTCTTGTTGCCTGTGCCCTTGTCTTCAGCGGTAACACGCAGGATACCGTTAACATCGATCTCAAAGGTGACTTCAATCTGTGGCACACCGCGAGGGGCAGGGGGGATGCCGGTCAAGTCGAAGGTTCCAAGAAGGTGGTTGTCTTTTGTCAGGGGACGCTCACCTTAAGAGAGAATGGAAATAAATTAGATTGATCAACATTTAAATTTCTGCCATTACATGCACATTATATTTGTCAAGATGAGATTTCTTTGTCAGCTTCATACCTTCATAGACCTTGATGGTGACAGTAGGCTGGCTATCAGAGGCTGTGGAGAAGATCTGGGATTTTTTGGTGGGCACAACGGTGTTTCTGGGGATCAGTTTGGTCATCACTCCTCCAACGGTCTCAATACCAAGAGTCAGGGGGCACACATCCAAAAGAACAACATCACCTGAAAAAGCAATACAAAAATCATCAATTGGTAAGAGAAATTTCCAAGCTCAGCATCATGGGAGAAATGACTTTAAATATCAGTGACGTACCAGTGTCTTCCTCTCCAGAAAGGACTCCAGCCTGAACAGCAGCACCGTATGCAACAGCCTCATCGGGGTTGATTCCCCTGGAGGGCTCCTTGCCATTAAAGAACTCCTTTACCAGCTGCTGGATTTTGGGGATACGGGTGGAGCCACCGACCAAGACAATCTCATTGATTTCAGATTTCTTCAAGTCAGAATCTTCAAGAACTTTCTGTACGGGCTTCATGGTGGAACGGAAAAGGTCCTGGAGGGAAAAAAAACAAAAACAAAATCATGAATAAGATTGCCAACCAAAATTATGTTATTTATTGGGTTTTATTTGCCGTTGTCAGCTGTTTAGTTTAAACATTTAAGTATTTCAAACATCTTACCATGTTCAGCTCTTCAAACTTGGCACGAGTCAGGGTCTCGGAGAAGTCCTCTCCCTCGAAGAAGGATTCAATCTCAATGCGAGCCTGGTGCTGGGCAGACAGAGCTCTCTTTGCCTTCTCCACTTCACGACGCAGCTTTTGTACGGCACGGTTGTCTTTGCGCACATCTTTACCGGTCTTCTTCTTGTACAGCTTGATGAAGTGCTCCATGACACGTTGGTCGAAGTCTTCTCCTCCAAGGTGAGTGTCACCGTTGGTGGCCACCACTTCAAACACACCGTTGTCAATGGTCAGGAGGGAGACGTCGAATGTGCCGCCGCCCAAATCGAACACAAGAATGTTCTTCTCCCCATCCCTTTTGTCCAGACCATAAGCAATGGCAGCAGCAGTTCTTTGGGGAAAAAAAAAGTTGTTTTTTATTATAGGTGCTTTAAAAGAAGGGAAAAAAGTCGTTTTTTATTATAGGTGCTTTAAAAGAAGTTACCTCCAAGTATAGTACGACTGTATAGAAATTAACTATTCAGGCAGATACTTACGGCTCATTGATGATTCTCATAACATTAAGACCAGCAATGGTTCCGGCATCCTTGGTAGCCTGACGCTGGGCATCGTTGAAGTAGGCAGGGACAGTGACCACAGCATGTGTGACCTGAGGAACAAGAGACCCCATTAGAAAACAACACTCCAACACCCAACTACTTTGTCACTGAGATATTCTGTTAAGTTATTTGTTTTATACCTTCTTTCCAAGGTAAGCCTCAGCAGTCTCCTTCATCTTAACCAGCACCATGGCAGAGATCTCCTCAGGGGCGAACGTCTTCATCTGGCCACCACCAATGTCAACCTGAATATGGGGTTTGCTCTTCTTTTCAGTTACCTGTAAAGGAACAAAAAAATGTTTCCATTTTGTTATTGAATGACTTTTGTCTTGCAACCCCATTCGTTTTACTTCAAACTATTATAAACAAACATACCTTGAAGGGCAGATACTTGATGTCCTGCTGGACAGAGGAGTCACCCCAAGTACGGCCAATCAATCTCTTGGCGTCAAAAACAGTGTTTTCTGGGTTAGAGGTCAGCTGGTTCTTTGCAGCATCACCAATCAGACGCTCACCCTCGCTGGTGAAGGCAACGTACGATGGGGTGATACGGTTACCCTGGTCGTTGGCAATGATCTCCACACGACCGTTCTTGAACACTCCGACACTGAAAAAAATCAAAACATTTAAACTTTTAAAAAATGTTCTTTCTTTGGAAGACCTAATCTTAATCAAACTAATCAACTCTTACCATGAGTAGGTGGTTCCCAGATCAATTCCAACCACTGTCCCCACATTCTCCCTCTTGTCATCATCGTCAGCAAACACAGTGCCGACCAGCAGCAATGCTGCAACACACAACAGCTTCATCTTTGCCTTCTGTGTGTCCAAGTCTATAGAGAAACCTGCAAAGAAAGTTAAATTAATTACTCAGAAATTGTCCATCATTTCACCTTAACAACTAATCAACATTAATTATATTTGAAATAATTTGTTCTTAATAATTGATAAATGGGGGGGGGCTCTAGTGCAGACACCAAACCCAGACGTGGGGGGCCACAGGGGTCAACTTCAAAATGCCAATTTAATTTCTAGGATGTAAGTCTTTAAAGTTCAGTTCCGCTTTAACTTCTACAGGCAAAAACATGTTTTTTCAACCAAACGTAAAGGCATCATAACGGGTTGGCTCGGTCTCTGCCGGCACAATGTCAAAGTCAATGGGGTGGAGCGCTGTTCACTGTCAAAACCAACGACAGCGCCTTAAATCCACCAGTCCTCACCTTAACGACTCCGTGACTTTCTGAGGTACGTAAAAAAATACCGTTGTAATTTAAAAAAAGAAATACAAATTGTATGTAATGGATAAAACACGAATTTGGAATTTCACCCCTCGTTTTTCAGGGTTCCTTTTTCCCCACTAACTAGTTCTTAATGGCTAGAATTCATGTTAACTCATTCAACTGATTCTTAATAAAAAAGAGATAAAAGAGTTTTTTATTATTATTTCCATCAAAGTCACTTGCATCTTGACAAGTCTGCCGGAAACGACTGGTTACCGACCGCATGTGCCGGTGTGGCCTTCAGTTCCAGCCGGTAAAACGTGTCATTCCCAGTTTAAAGCGCAATCGCTTAAAATAAAAACGCGTACAGTGAGAACTTTGTGCATATGCTATACTGCAAATTTAATGGTTGGATTTAGAATCGTTTCCTCGAATTAAATACGTCACAATTGCAAACGATAGCCTAGCCGTTTCACTGTTACGAAACAGGGAAATGTTAAAAAAAACGCTGCAGAAAATATTAAATTTAACTGTGACGTATTGTCACTTCCGCAACAGTTTCCAACTTACCTTATATTATGTGTCGATTGACGGCCTTGAACGCCTCTAATGGTGATTTCCGTTCACACTCTGCTTTCTCTTCTCACTGTAGTTTATTCTGTGGCTTCTGTGGAGTAATGTTGAATGAATGGTGAGCTCTCCATATATAAGCCTTCACTTCTGTCCCGTCGTGGAGGCACGCCATTGGTTAAGACGCTGTTCGTTGGAAGCTTCTGATTGGCTGTCACTTGCACGCTGGCCGCCGCTGATTTGCACACATCGCGTTTTGGAGACGTCACGGCTTTGTACCACTTCGGCGACTCTGATTGGCTGTCTGTCAAACAGGTCCGCGACATCGGTTGGTGAAAGAACACGCCACTCTGACGACCAAGGAAGAAGAAAAGGGTGCATTTGATCGTTTCACACATGTAAAGATAATGGGTTTCTTAAATTGTGACCCCTCTCTATGTATATATATATAAATATATATATATATATAATTTCATTGTTGTTGTTTCAAGTTTTGGTTGTGTTATGTCGACTGTATGATGTCTTTTTTATGATGACTCACTACAAACACTACAACATGAAGTATGCATGACTGTAAAGGCCCAAAAGAAACCAGCTCTTACATCATGTGAACTTGATTGTCAAGACATTTCATCAGTTAACTTCTGTACTCGCTACCTTTAGGCACTATCTTGTTTATAACTGCAAGACTTGACAGGTTTAAGTAAGTGGTTTAGGTCACTAAAGCTAATGTATACATCAAAGCACAGTTAGTGTAATTTGAATTTGTCAAATCTGAAACTAGCGATTAAAACATAACCTACTCTAATAAGGGTAATGTTTAGTAGTGCTATGTTTCCTAAAGAAATAAATCAAATAACCATTTTTCCTTCAAGACATTTCTTTAATGATTTTATAATAACAATGAAGTGATATATTTTCTTCAACTGAAACTAGCAATAACTTTTTTAACTAGAGGCTGTATCACTTTGTTTAATACATCAAATTAACTTGAGGTTATCTCAATTGAAAAATGCTAATTTATTTATTATCATGCCTCTAAAGTACTTTATTATTATTATTTACATCTTGATATAACTTTGTATTACAAAAAATGTTATGACAGTGACACTTGCTGTTTTACAATTTCTATTTTCAGATAAATAAAGATTATTGAACCTGAACATTTCACTTTACTGAAAAGGTTAAAATGTAGGTTAAAATGTATACAGTAGTACAACACCTTGCCATTTCAAGGCAAACTAAAGTTATCTGTAATATTTGTTGTACTAACAGTGTACGAAGTAATTTGATTTAATAAGAAATTATCTAATAGGAGACTATGTGGAGTTGTATTTTTTGGTTTTCATACACAAAAATGTTATATTGAATTTATTCTCTTATAGACATCATGACATCGTGATGTTGCCCACAACTATTAA